AAATAGCTATGTTGAATTTTTAATGAAATTGCTTCTTCTCTCTTCCATAAAATTATATATATATATAAAGAATAAAAAATCAAATCAAAATTGTAATACAGCATGTGGTCAGTGAATATAAATGAGTCACAATTTGTGATTGTGTAAAATTTGATAATTTAATTTCAATAATTGCAATGTTTCTTTTGTTCATAATTTTCTGTCATAGAAATGTCTGATAAGTCTTGCTGTGTTTTTTAAAGGTAATAGATAAGAGATTGCTTTCTTGTCACTGAAATATCTTTTGCTGTTGGAAAATTTTTCTAATTTGTTGTAAGTTTCATAACAGTCAAGCATATTGTATTCATTTATTTTCTTGTGGGAAATTGGCCAGTAGTGACATATATTTGGAATTTTTTGCTCAAATTTGATTTCATTTGGGCCAAATCTGTAGTCCTGTGGACCAGCAACTAATATGAGTATGACCTATGTGAAGTCGTAAATTTCCTTGAAATACTGGCCTTTGGTACTACAGGCTTTAATTTCGAATCCTGGCTGTGGCGTGGGTGTTTGTTAGTAGTTCGGAATCCATGTTAAACTGCAGGTTCCGATCTAATTAGCCTACAGTGTGCACAAAATGATGTACAGTGGCAAACAAAACCTTGAAATACAGAGATTTTTATGTGCATATTTTTAAAACTTTAAATTACTTAAAAATACTTAAAAAATTAATTGTTAATATAATTTTAATCTTAATTAAATACCAGAAAAAAAAGTAAAACCATCTCTTATTTATATTTTCTAAGATATTTTTATAATACAAGTTATGCATATACCATATATTATATCCATATTATTATATTATACAATATTTTACATATCCATTATGTATTACTCTATTTTAAAAGGTTTGTGAAGTGATATATGCTTCTGTGATGAATCTTAACTAAAAAGTGTTTTTGAAAAATTATGCATGAACTATATAAATATTGGCCATCCATTCTCTAGGGTAATCTAGTAGAAAATTCATACAAAATCCTGCAAAATTGCCATATCGCAAATTCCCATGCATATCAAATCTATCTAAATTATTTCAATTTGTCCTACTTAAATCAGCTTTTGGATACAAATTAAAATAAGAACAAAATTCATTTTATTTTTGGTACGTATTGTGCACTGCATGCTTTGAAAAAGTTTGCATAAATGGATTTTTTCTTAGAATGTTGCAGTAGTTTGATAAAATGTTAATGGCTTTTGTTATGGAATGATCTGCGGGACCCTGGATCCAACAAGCGTGGAGACCTCTAGATAAGGTTGATAATAATATCCCAAAAATATTTTGCTTTTAAATTTTGTAAATGAAAATTTGAACTTATGATCTACTTTTTGAAGTGCTAATAATTAATCAAAGACACAAAAATAGCAAATCAAGCACTTGATTGCATTTCTTCTTTAAGTTCTATGAACTGAAATTGAAAGTTTTTTTTCCAGTATTTCTGAGGAAGATGACACAGAATTAACTGAAGCAGATGGTGAACTACAGCTCATAACAGAATGTTGGATTGAACCCCAGTATGGCATTGCAATCATGCCGCCCGAAACAGAGTATTTGAATGGCTTGAAATTTGAAGAACTTCCCTCAGCTGTGAGTAATAGTATTTGGACAGTACTTTTTCTTGTCATTTAAATCTTGTGTCATTATCCTTAAATGACAATTGAATTGTGATAAAATGAGTATTTTATTTTAAAATTAAACTCATGTACTTGAAATAACGTTAAAACATTAATATTAATTTTAGCAAATTTTCTTTAAAATATATATATATATATATATATAGGAGAGAAAGAGAAAAACAAATTGTCCATGGAAGACAGAATCATCATGAATTTTTTGGTTTTCTAAAATTGTAAATTAAATTTTGTTTCATATATAGATATATATATTATATATACACACACACACACACACACACACACACACACACACACACACACACACACACACACACACACACACACACACACATGATATAAAGATAATTACATCATACTGGATTCATGTAAAATTGTCAATTGTATATTTCATTGTTAAAAGGATGTTTTACTTCAGTAATCGATTACTTAATAATTCAATTTATAAATTTTACACTATTATAATTTACATTATTAAAAATTTCACTTATAGATCATATAGGAATGCATTTTCACAAGTAAAATCTGTTTACTTAAAAATAATAAATAAATGTTACTAATACTTTATTATTAGTAACATTTATTTATTATTTTTTTTTTTTCAAAAGTACAAAACTTTTTTGATTTATATTTTAAGAGATAATAAATTAATTATTATTATTTTGTTGTAAAATTTAATGCATTTGTATAAATGTTATGCTTTTTTTTAGATCCATCAAAAAGACTTGGAAATTACTCAAGTTTTAACAACATTTGAACATTTGTGTGCTGTTTGTCAAAAAACTCCAAAATTGCCTGATACCTCCCTTCCTATTCAATCAAAAGCTGAAGCCGATATTCAGGTTGTAAAATCTTTGCCAAACATTCCAGTCCTTTCAAAAAAAGAACAAGTTGACCAATCAAACACCATTATTATTCCTTATGCTTTTAACTTGACGAGTTTATTACCCAAGTGTCCACAGACTCAATTAACTTTTTCTACATTGCATGAAGGTAGCTATTTTTACTTTCAAAATTTTATATTTATCAATAATGAATTTTTTAGATGAATATGGTATTACATTCAAAATGTGTTCAAATTAAAACGGGAATTATATTATTTTTATCATATTAATAGAAGATAATTAGTTTTGAATGCTATATTTATGTACATTAATTTAATATTTGTTTTCAATAAGTTTACTCTATTGATAATTTTAAAGTGTGGTGTACCATAATGCTTATTGATTTAGTTTTAAGTTAATATTTTTTTATAATTTATTTTTTTAAATCAAGTAATTGTGCAATTTAAACTTCTAAATAAATGTATTTTTTTTAATGGTGTTATGAAATGGATTGATTTCTAATGTATCTATTACTTTTAATAAATTCTGTTAAAGTATTTGCATAAGAAAAATTACTTTGTAGTAATTTTTAACTTGTTTCTTATTTCAAGAATTAAGTTTATGAACCCTAGCTTGTCGTATTCGAATAACATTAACTACTAGCTAATAGTCATAAGGAGAACCTTAAACTATCCGAGGTTGTTAAGTCATCCATACTTCATAGGTTGAGTCATTGTTGAAATGCATTGAATTGTTGAAATTGTTATTGAGCCTAAACTTTTGATAATTTTAAGCATGTATGTTTTTATGCAGAAGTATTTATTATTTTTTTTAGTATATTTCTCTCTTAATTTATTATTCTATTCTAAAATTTTGTAATTTACATTTAATATTATAATAACAAATATAATTGCAATAAAAATGATATAAATATATTTTAATTGATTAAATTTATTATAATATAACAACTAAAGTATAATAAAAGGAAAAGTAAATACAAGTAAAATATAGTAACTTATTCATTTTAAATATAATGTAAACATCAAACATTTTTTTTTTTTTTTTTTTTGTAATTGAAAGTTGGATATAATTTAATTGTTATATATCAAATTGTAATTCTTATTAAATTTAAGTAACTTATGAATTTAACTGTTTCAGCTACAAATAACAGAAATGAAAGAGGAACTTGTGGAAATATTATATTTTTTGATTATCTGATTGAAAATCTGAAATACTTTCATGATCAAGAAATCAGTTTATCACTGGAAGACTGTGCTATCTGTCTTTTTCAAATTCTACACAGAAACTGTGATTCCGTCAATCCCACAACTCCAGAGTTCACAGTTTTTCCTCATCCAGAATTCACAATATCCAAGGGGACATTTCAAAAGAATTCATTTATTAATCTAAAAAGATGTGAACTGTGTAATGAGCATGATTCTTCCCGTGTATGTATTGATTTCAATCAGCAAACCATTCCAAATGATGTAAAGGATTGCATTCCAAAATGGAGATGTTTTGCCAAGGGTTGCAGCTCTTCCCATGTCATCTTGACATTGGTGCCTGCCACTTATGAAGATCTGAAAAAATTATACTCTCCATGTCATCCTACTAATCAAAAGGTTATTGAGCAAGAAGTTCAAGATATTCAGAATGTACCAACCACAAAAAATCTTGACTCATCAGTTAGTATGATAGAAAATCCTGACAATGAAATAGAGATGGCAAAAGAGGATATTCTTCAGATGAATGCATTGCCTCTTCCAATTTATGTATACAATTGTGTTTCTTCATCAATTGTCAATCAGCTGGTTCATCTACATAAATGCAGCCCAGTAGTTGATAAATATGAAAATCATATTTTTGACTGTGAATGTCATCAGGAGGATTCTAAAAAATCTACCATATTAAATGGTCAAGAGGAGGGTAAAAAGACGGTGGATCTTATATTGTTAAAAGAACATTGCTCCTTGATTGAAAAAGCTTTTTCAAAAGCCTTTGCTTATGGTGTTTACAGGTATTTTTTTTAATAATACATGCAAATTATTTCTTTTTATTACTTTACTCTCAACCTCTAGTCTTACTAATCATTTAATTTTCAGCTTTTTCAAACCTACCTTAAAATTAAATAATAAATTACAGTAATCTCTCTTTAATCCAAAAGTTTGGAACCATGGCCATGCCGGATGAGCGATTGTGCCGAATTATGTTGTTGTTTGTTGTTTCTTATCCCACTTGGCAGACATTTCTAGGCCAAGCTCACACGTACTCATGATTGAAGGGGAAGGAAGCAGCTTCTGTTGTGATGGAGCACCCGTAGGTAGAAGCCTGACTTTTGCTCCGTGACGCTCTTACAGTCATATGAGACCGGGACCTACGGCTTAAAGTGGATTCCGAACCACTACAAACATCCAAGGCACCGCCGGGATTCGAACCCGAAACCTGTGGCACCGAGCGCCAGAGCGCTAGACACTCGGCCATTCAGGTCCCAAATCTGTGAATGCCAACGGCACGCGGTGTTCCCAGGTGGTCACCCACCCAAGTACTGACCGCGCCCAATGATGCTTGACTTCGGTGATCTAACGAGAACCGGTATATTCAGCATGGTATGGCCATTGGCTGCCGAATTATTGAGCATCAATATAGTTTGAAGTGAGGTATCAAAAAGGAAACTTTTTAAATAAAAATCTAAAGGATTAACCTATTGAATGTGCTTAGCACATTCTGAGCCCTTGTGGATGATACAAGTGTCTGGTAAATGCTAGCAGTATTCGTTGTCATCTGGAGGTTAACATCAACAAATTCTGAAATCTGAACTGAAAAAATGCTAAGACTCGATCTGTACTGGGTTAAAGAATATGTCAAACTATTAAATGCCGTATTCAAAATAGATTACTATAATTAATTTTTTCACTATTCAGATACACTTTTATTTATTAAAAAATAGTCTTTCTGTGATCGTGTTAACTATTCATCTTATATCAATTTCTAACAGTTGTTAAGCAGGCCACAAATTCTAGAATACATCAATTTAAAAAATAGTAATTTTTTTTCCATTTAAAATAAAAATAAGTTACAGAACTGTTTTTCAATAATTTATTTAATATATTTTTGATTATTTTAGGTCTCTTCTTAATGGCTTTGATATTCAGAAGTGTGATGCAATTGCTGCTATTGATAATATTTGTGAAGAATCTCTGTTAGAGATTGATATTACACAGTTTCTTTTTATGATATGTGGACACGTAAAAGATTTTTTCACAAAACGCTCTGTTAAACAGATGCAACTTTCACAAGAATACCATGAAAATAATGTTTCAACTCAAGAACTTGCCCAAGAAGAAGCTACGGAACTAGACAAGTTTGTTAAAATTAATATTTATTCATTTTAGATAAATTAATTTATATGTCACGATTAAGAAACATAATATATTTACCTAAATTCTCAATATATTTTATATATAAATTAAAAACAATTGTGTAAATTGCAAAATTATTTTAAACATTAAAGCATTTATTTTTAATTTATATTTTTACATAAGGAAGCTTAAATATTTTTTTTTTTTAAGAATTTTATTTGTTATTTATATTATTTTTTACAGAAGTTTTAAAAAATGTATATATATGTAATTTACTTAATTAAAATTAAGTGATTAGGTAACTTTCATTTCTATAAATTTCTTTCAAAGATGCTAATTAAAAAAAACACTTGACTTGGAATTAAAAACAATATAAAAAAGAACATAAGTGTAAATTTTTATACATAATTTGGGATACATATCTTTGAAAGGTGATAATAATAACAGCAATATTACTACTAATAATATAAAGTATTTTTTAAGATATACCTTAAAACTTTTAGAAGAATTATACATTTAAATTGTACAGTTTGTATGTAAAATAATTTACATTATTTATTATTATATCAAAACTGTATAAAATTTAAATTAATTTTTAACAACACATTTTAGAATAAAATAGTAAATACCAATAAGTAAAAAAAAAGTAACTTATTAAAGTTAAATTATGTGTGTATCAACCAAATGAAAATGTTATAAACATATCTTGTTTTATATAATTATGTGCTTACTATGTGTTTAACTTGACTTTGTTTGGGATTCAAAAACATATGTAATTAGAATTAAAAATTTATATTATTTAAAAATTATTTTATTGGAAATGTTTTTGGGTAGTTACATTTTAACAGAACTATTGACTATTTTTCCATTACTTGCATAGATGTCAAAATTTGCTAAAGTATTGACACAAAATTTTTTTAAATATTGATTTTTTCCTTAATTGTTTGCATTCAAAATTCTATGCAAATATTAGAAAATATGTTATGCATCTACTGGGCAATGCAGTAATAGTCCTTTGTAGTCTACTTTTCTTTCGTTGCTGGAGTGGTTGATAAGAATCTGAAGTTTCAACCATAGTGTTATTAAAAAAAAAAATTTCAAGTAGGAAGTGGGAAGTTTTAGCTTATGCAATAATAATGGTACCTGGCATTCTACTTTTTTCTTGGCTAGCATGTTATCAAAATGAACTGAAATTCCAATAAACTATATTTTATTGGAATTTCAATTTATTTTGATAACATGTGCTGTTGCTTTTTGCCAGCCTTGTTCACAGTCTGCTCTTTGTTGAAATGTCTTGATTGATTATCAGTCAAGAATGTTTTATTAATTTCACGTTGAATCTCATTATTCTTCACCTCTGGCATCGACCATTCTCGATCTATTCAAGGTACATTCCAATTTTCTGATATCTTTTTATTTTCTACAGATTCACATGCTGCTTTTCATTTAGAGTCAATTCTGGTCTGATTAAATAGTTTCTTTCTTTAGGCAGCGATGCAAATTTAACAATAAAAACGAGGCCTGCAGAATTTTGACAATACACAATAATTATTAAAATATTTAACAGTGCTTGCAAGCTAACCTAGAATAAACATTTAATTTTTAAATCATGTAAGGCACATACTTTGGATAAGAGAGAAAAAATTGTAAAATAATTTAATTTAATTTAATAATATTATTTATGTTTTAAATAAATATTGATACCATTTTCAATTTTTTTTCCTTCAATTGATCTACACTTTGTATTAGAAGTATCCATACCACATATTGGTGAAATTTCGATGTAACCAGAGATTGTTCATTGGATGACCTACATGCACAAACTTGGAGAAATATATTTACTGATAGATTCAATAAAAAAAATATAATATAAAATGTATTTAATGTTCTGTCAATTCAAAATAAAGTAATTATAATGAATCATGTTCTGCCATCTGCATATTCAAAATAAAATGTTACCACAGAAACGTAATTCAATATCTGATTGAAATTTTCTTTATTAAAAAATTGTAGTCTATGACACATTAAGACTTTCAGATTTTAAAATGTTGAATTTAAGAGTTTTAAGTTATGCAACTCTATGAATGTTATTGTTTTATTTTTAGGTGGCAATTTATAAATAACATGCATTTCTCCTTCACTGTTATACATTTTTTATGAGTATTTTCCTATATTTTACAAATATTAAGTCACAGCAGGTAATATGAGGTCATTATATTATTTAAATTAATATATACTGAGAAAAATGTAAAGTGTTCATGTTTCATTTATTTATTTTGGGGTGGAGGAAAGTGGACATTTTTACTAGTAAAATTGCAATGCAATTTTTTTTCTTTTTTGGTTATGAATTAAGGCAGTGCATAGGGCACATACACATACAAAATTTAATATATACATACAGTGGGTAAAAAAAGTATTGGCAATTGCCTTAATTTATTCATATTGACAAATAAATAAAATGTTATGCAATTTTAGCTGTCGTAATTAAATACAAGACATCTTAGATATATAAAAATAGTAAAAATTTTATTTTAATTTGCATTTTCTACAATTTTTTCTTTCAAAAATGAAAATTTGCATGTCAAAAAAGTATTGGCATAGTTTTAACTGCTATGCAAATGTTGTTACATTGAAGTCACGTGTTTTGACTGATAAGAAACTCTACCGGTATAAAGTCTGCAAAACTACTCCAAAAATGTCTATGCATTATTTTGCGATTACTGCAGTAAAATGACTTCGAAATCGAAGGAGTTGGACGTTAGTGTTAAAAACACGATTATTAGGCTCAGAAATGAAGGTTTAACTTATCGTGCTATAGGAGTGCAGTTCAATATAAGTTTATTTACTGTCAGCAGTGTTGTAAAAAAGTTCAAGGGAACAGGATCAACAGAAAATAAGACTAGAAGTGGATGACCTTGAATATTTTCTACAAGAGAAGAACGTGTCATTATTAACAAGGTTAAGAAAAACCCTAAAATAAGTGCACCCCAGATAGCTAGAGATGTTGCTTTCACTTTGCAAAAGACTTTCAGTGTACAGGCTGTACGGAATGTTTTACACGAGAGAAGTTTTTATGGAAGGGCAGCTAGAAAGAAACCATTCATCTCGGAAATAAATAGGAGAAAGAGGTTAGATTTCGCAAAATCCCACATTGATTTATCTGAAGAGTTTTGGAACACAGTTATTTTTTCCGACGAATCAAAGTTTAACATTTTCGGCAGTGATGGACGACGATATGTGTGGAGGAGGCCAAATACTGAATTGGAAAAGCAACATTTAACTGCTACTGTAAAACATGATGGAGGCAGCGTCTTAGTTTGGGGCTGTATGGCAGCTAATGGAATTGGCAACCTGCATTTTATTGATAGTATTATGACAGCACGTACAGATTGACATTTTGCGCCATAACTTAAAAATCAATGCCCAAAATCTTGGCTTGGGAACATCATTCGTTTTTCAACAAGACAAGGACCCCAAGCATACAGCGAATCTCACCCGTGAATGGCTACTCTACAATGCTCCTTGCCAATTAAAAACCCCACTTCAATCGCCTGACATCAATCCAATTGAAAATTTATGGCACCTGCTGGATCTAGAAATCAAGCATAAAATTTCTAGTAAAGACGACCTCAAACGTTTATTCTTGCTAGAGTGGCATAAAATTCCCAACAGTACAACAAAGACCTTAGTTTCCTCTATGAGAAATAGATTACAAGCTGTTATAGATGCAGAAGGTATGCATACAAAGTACTAAACATATACTTATTTTGTTTTCGCTCTTAATTTTGCCAATACTTTTTTTATCATGTAAATTTTGGATTTTCTTGTAGATTTTGACTAAAAAAATATTTAAATGAAAATTTCGTTATATTTGTTTGTCTTTTCTCCTTCTGTAATCGCTATGTTAAAATAAAATTTGTAAACATACTTTGTTAGCAAATATGATCATTTATAGGCAATTGCCAATACTTTTTTTATCCACTGTATATGCTATTTGCAAAATATGAACATTTTTACCTATTTTAAGATAGATACTGAAAATAAAATATATCTTGTGTTTGTTTAGAAACACATCTAATATATTTTTTTATTAATTGAAGATCTTTGGGAAAATCCTATTTTCCTTTATCAATATTGGAAAAATACCAACCATGTGAGCAGTTACATCAGAAGCATCTGAGTGTGAAAGAGAAGTTTTCAGATATTATCAAAAGCTTTTTCAAAGATATTTCTTCCAGACCAGATTATTTCTTTTTT